GTCTCCTCCTAAAAATGCAATTATTTCTCAACTATTTTTTGTACATTTAGGTGTACATGTGAAGAATTTACAATAATGGAAACAATTGAAGAGTGCCAATGCTGCCAAGAAAAGGATGTCATGGTGGCCGAAATGGAGGAGTTCAATGAATATAAGGGAGATGGTGCAAACATAATAATAGATCACCCAGGATTCCAATCAAATGTGGATGTTTGGGTGTTGCAGACAGCCTTCCATAATTATTCAAAGAGGGACAGACAACAAGCAGGTGATCAGCCACGTAATGAGTAAGTTACTTGTGTTCACAAATTTGTAGAGCTTTGATGTATTTTTGGGAAGTCTAATGGTCACTCTGGCAAAGTTACAGAATAAATAGATGAATAAGCAAATAAGGTGGAAGTGATTACCATTGACATTTATGATCTTGTATTTTACAGAATGTATCGCTATGTGGTATACCGCCAGCTAGTGAGATTTTGCTGGGGAATACTTGGTAAGAACCACAGAATCCCACTGCCATCATGTGCCGTTAAAAAGATCCATGCGACGTTTCCATCTGACAACTACACGTCGTTCAAGTATCCAGCACTTGATTAGAGTCAATAACAAAACTGATTGTCAGTTCAGTGATTAAATCTGCTTCTAAACAGCACAACAGCCTCTTTCTTGTCTGGTTTTTCCCACCGACTGCTGAGTGGATCTGGGACATCGAAAGGTTCCTCCTCGACATTGTCTTCGCACAAGCGTAGAGTCTCGGTCAAGAGTTCGCTAACATAGTCTGCAAAAAATAAGTTTTATATTCAAGAATCATATACTATATTTTCTAGTGCCCCAATTATGCATAGCATGCCCTGAGGCACTTTGCATAATTAATCATTGTAGTTGAAACTGTACACTCCATTCTCACATAGCTCAATTTTCAATATGTACACAATAATGTTGTCCAAGATTGAATGTTTTTCATTAATTTGGTAAAACGGTACAATTATTTTTTTTATACTCTCACTTTCACTTTCTTACCATATGTAGCTGCTGTATTCACACGTCTCACTACATGACCACCTTTCTTTGCTTTAGGGAATTTCACAGTGTATTGGAGTTGTCCTGTACCGATTTTGGCATGCTTCCTGCCAGAGTTCTCGTTGTAGTGCAGTGCTGCTAACTGGGGCAAACTGGTTGACTTTACTGTGGTATACTTCCACCCCGTAGGTTTGCTGTGAAGGTGACATCTTCTTGACGTCTCTGACAAAAGCTTTCTGGCTGACAACTTTATTCAGCTTTAGTGCTGGCACTGAATCTGAAAAAACACAATCAAAAAAGGATATAGGATATACGACAATAGAAACAATATTAGTTCTTCACTGCATATAATTTTGCTTTACTGAAGACACAAAAACATTCCAACACAACATTTGATGTGTGGTCCGTTGTCGTAGAAAATATTATTACCTGCTTAGAGACATTTTTTCTTGCAGTACTGAGCTGCAGGCAGCTGACCATGGGCACATTTCTCGAACACTCTGCCATGTTTGGTGTGAAAGTTTACAATGTGGTTGTTGAGGGACATCCATTTGTCAGCAATAATTTCTCCATTTCCATCCGGAGTTGATACGGCACACCAATATAGATGGTTCAGAATGGATTGTATCCATTCCCCAATAGTGGTACATTGCTTTTCCTTTGCAAGCTTTACCATTTTTTTTTTTAGGTCTATAAAATAGAAAGTTCAGTGTGTTTTTAATTGTAGTGAATAGGAGAATTATAATTCTACTATTGTTCAAAAATGAACCTACTTTTTGCAAGGTTCCAAACGTCGAACCGATAGTCCACAGATTTGTCTTGGCAGATGAGAAGCGCTATATAAATTAAATGTATTATTACATGTTCTTGGTTTTCCCCTCAGCTATTTTTTGATCTGTGTGTGTCTGTCACAATTGTCTTCATGACGAGGTTTTCACTCTCCAAGAACTGGACACCGCACAAGCCCCTCTTTTTCCATGTGGACACTTGAAGGGACTTCATTACTCTGGAAATACATTCAGAACACACATATCTTTTATAAAGATGGCTATCATAGAGCATTTGATTTTCAGCGGTCATATTTGTATATTATTTGTAAACATGGTTAATACTTTGAGCTTGAAATGCATCGGCCAAAAAAAAAAACACTCAGAAAGATATTCTCAGCTGTGTTTGGCAATAAAGTATTTGGAGGAGGCTATTCATAACATAGAATACATTCACTAATACTGACCTGCACTAATTGAACATCCAACACCTTATTTATTGTGAGGTCTTGTATGGTATAGGATCCATACTTGGCACAGTGACCAGGGCTATCACAGCGTCCATCCCCTCCTAACATTAGTTATTTGTGTTTGTTCGTCTCCTTCAGTTTCTGCACAATGTTGTTTTCCGATTCTTGGTCCAGACTTTCTTGATTGCAGATTGAAGGAATTTCCTTCTGATGATTCAGAAATGTCCTTGTTGTCATGGTGTAGCAGTTGATGGATTTCAGTACCCTCAGCACTTTTGTTGTTGATGTACCCGCAAAAAGAATTCCTGCTGACAACTGCAGATTTCCAACAGGAGTTTTATCAATAAAAGGTTGATTCTGCCATGACCTGTGAGAAAAATATATTCATTCAATTGTTTATCATACGAAACAACCTGTATGAGTATCTCATGAATATGACCACCTGTCAAAGATGGCCACAAATATCATTCTCGAATACATATTTTGCATGGTCATCATTTAAAAATATTACCTTTTGAAAACCACAATGTTTACAGTTTTGATCGATTTCCACAAATGTGCCCATTGTTCTCCGAAGGCCACCTGTCGAGTTCTCTTTACACATCGGACAATGGGTGAATAGTGACATCAGGGAAGACATGAACACAAGCAGAAGCTTACTCCTAAGTGGATCATTGGCGTCCTGGTTGTCACTGTGAAATGGACAAAGAGTAAAATGATCAAGTCTGCAATAAATGGCTGGATCCGACCCTGCATAATGATAATGTAGCAACATTAAAAAAACATGACAAAACAATACTCATCAGCTGATGAATCAGATTTCACGTCTGCTGGGCTATAAAGATTATCCTCTTCATGTTGGCTATTGTCGGCCTCAAGCTCTTTTTCCTCATCAATTATGTCCCTTTCAGGGAGGTTTAGCTGCAGGTTGCACTGGATCCCAGCATCCACAGTACTTGTATCATGTGTTTGTGTCCCAACAGTACATGCAGTTGGTTTGACTTCAATCCCCGAAAATAAGCAAAATTATATATATATATATATATATATATATATTTATACGTATGTATGTATTTATGTGTATTTGTATATCAATATTTAAATATTATGATGCTGACCTTTGGAACAACCAACATGGATTCGAACTTGCTGTCCAGCTGACCTGAAACGTGGTCGTGCCTGCGTGGACTTGTGGTACATTCGTGGAGGGGGGTTCGTTTGCACAGCAATTTCATTCTGAAATGTACAAAACACAGCACAACTTTACTAAACTAGCTTGAAATTGTATTGCAAGTTTGTCCATAATATAATATCTAATAACATTCGTAATAACACATGTGGTTGAATTGACTGAGAGAGCAATGCTATCAAATCAAACAATTAAATATATTAATTATGTACACGCATGTGATGAAGATACAAATTGTATTTTTACACAGTCCGTTCTGTATAAATACTGGTGCATACACAGCTTCCTCCCCAGTGTGGATGTCCAATAGATTGTCGCTATCCTCAGTTCTGTCAGTGGCTTCATTGAACAAAGTTTCCAATACCTAAGTAATAATATTGACATTTTTCATAACTTGAAGCGGTTGTATGAGGTATAATTTTACTATAAATGCTGTTCATGGGCAAAGTGCATGCAATAATATATGGCATCATGACTTCATCAACTCACAAATGTGTAAGATTTTACTTGTCATTTTGATTCAGGCTTTATGCTTGTAAACATTGAACAACAAGTAGCGCGGCTTACCTTCGATCTCTCCCTTTTGGCAAATGCATTTCGCCATCTCTTTAGTGGAGGAATCTGCATCGGGGGACTTGTAGGAATCGGCGTGGTGGCTTGTACTGGCAATTGGGTTCTTGGCAGTAACCATTGTTGGAACAGCATCTTTGTTCAGTTTGAAATTCTTTTTTAATCCAATTTCCTTAGCGAGCATTGTGGATTGTTCTAAACACTATCTCTCGAAGTGCTGCCCACAAATTGTCGGTTTCATCGACCCCGGATTACCTGGTCCAGCAAAATCCGCCCTCGTACGACGTACTTGTTTGGTCCATGTACGCAACATTTGATCATTTTTTGGCCACAAAAACATCCCATAGCCAGATTTGGAAACGGCCCCGCATCCCCATACCACACATCGCTTGCCGATTATTCTTGGTGTCTTATTGCTGTGCATCCTTTGTTTTAATATTTGGCGCTTCAAGGCATTTAAACCGGACTGAGCTCAGCTGTGTTCTACTCATGACGTCACCGCCGGAAATGACCAAAGTTGTTGTTTCCAGCGCGAAGAACGATTGTTACTAACTGATAACTTTTGTATGCTGTTATAATCGTGATTTATTCAAAATACATCATAATAAAAAAAACATATGGCACATTTCACAATACAAATACAACCTCTATCATATACCAAGCCCACCAACAGGTGCTAAAAGCATTTCATAAGCTCTTTAAGGTTTATTCATCATTCATAATGTGCCGTATACCAAATCACAGCTAATCTTCATGTTTGTAAAGACAGAAACAAATCTTTGGAGATAATCACAACTCTTGCTGCCTTTACGCCCACAACGCAAAAGCGCTTTGGAACATGGCCCGGCATTTAACTCCATGTTTCATTATGTTCTGTCAAACTAGTGTAAGGGGAATATCCCGAGTCATGATGAGGTGAGGGATCATGCTAATTCACATTCGCAGATACTAATAGGTCCAAGCTGTTTCTGGAGGAGGAGAGTTTCTCCAGAGAAGCCGAGTTGTTTCTAATAAACTCTGGCACAGAAATAAAAGCTCCCCCAGACTCTCATTTGGATTGATCAGGGCTCTGCTGCAGAGTATCAATCCGCCAAGCTTCCTCCATGTCATGTCAAATACAATCAATTATTCTAAAAGAGTCCACTCATAATAAGCTCCTTAGTCCTCGGAGAGAATGTTTTGGAGACGGTGCAAGTGATGTGGGCAGACTACTGCCATCCATTAAATAACTCACCAAAAAATAAAACAACATTATGATATTGAGTTGTGAATTACACACTTGGAATGTCTCACTTGTTTGTGTTTTGTGTCAATATGGAGCCAGAGAGTAATGTCTCTGTTAGGACAGTGCAGGAATCCTTGCCCTTTGCAAAACGTTTTATATAAAAGAGCAGATGACGGAGAGCTATAGTCAATTTTATCTGACATTTCCTCAGTAAACCAGCACCTTAACTGTCAGCGCAGGCAGACAATAGAATGGATAACGAAAAGGCAATTATATTGAGGTGTTACTCAGAGTCCGATTTCAAATATCAATCGAGGATGCGAGCGCCTATTCATCAACCACAGTCATTCAGGACATTTCAAGTGAGAGATACTGTGGTCAATTTTCAATGAATAATCACATTATTACACCCTGAGTGACATGATTGTGATCACAGCAAAAATAACAAAGGCATTGGTTTACTGAGAGGTGGAGGAAAAAAAATAAAATAATTGGTCATATGAGTCATTCTTCACTCTGCTCTCAACAAGTGGATGCGTACATGCTTGGCACACATAAAAAACAAGCCTACAGGCCGGAGCAAAGGGTCTTAGTGGGTCTGTTATGGAGTGGGAGGCTTTGTTTTGTCATGGTGAAGGTGCAGCTTTAAGGAGAAAAACAAATACAGAGTATGCTGCCATTCTCAGCGATCGCATCAGGCTCAAGTAATGGTGGAGAGTTTGGTTTGTTTTTGTTTTTCTCATCCTGAATCCGACCTTTCCACCTGAGAGTAGAGGAAGGAGCCTTCGCTTGCCTTGAAGCTATCCACAGGATCTCGTTATGTAATAATACAAAAACCTACTGCAGGCAGAATTTAGATATTTTTACATGAATATTCTCTTGTATGTAGAGCAATAAGTACTCCATGCATTTGCTAAAACCATATGTCTATAGCAGACTCCTGAAGGGGCAATATGCCGTCTCTATCTTCACCTTATGTAATCGAGTAATGAATCACTTCAATGATTTTCCAAACCCTTTTATCCAATTAGTGTACTTCATGACACATTTATTCCGTAACCAGAAAACTATTTATTTTATGGTTCCTGCTGAATCTTTTATGATGCGCTATTCCTTTCTCTGTTCGTTTCCAATCCGATACGTTCTCCAACGTAAATGACAAATTTCCCTCTGAGGCCAATTTATTCACTAATAGCTAAAACCAGTGCATCGGTAAACCATCCCACAATGATCACACTATATCTGCCATTGCTTCTAAGAGACGACACAATTCTCATTTCCACAGAGGTTATCTTGAGGCAAATGTAAATTAAGGTTGTCCTAGAGCAGTGGTCGCCAACCAGTCGATCGCGATCGACCGGTCGATCGCGAGTGTGGTGCGGGTAGATCGCGGACAAAAAAAAAGTAACAAAAGAAAGAAAAATAAAATAAAAATAATAATGTTTGAAAAATACGTTTTTAGATGTAAACCTATCATCCACCACCCTGTTAGCAGGTACCACTTGATTGACGTATATTTGAGACACCTCAATAATACATTAACCGTGCTTTACGTGAACCTCATCATGACACTAGAGACGACGGCAGGACTGTATTTTCCCGTGTTCAGTGAACGCAACAGAGGCAACACACCAGACCAATCAGAGAGTTGCATGGAAATACACGTGTGCTTGTGTCANAGGCACACTTGGCTCAGGCAACAGAACACAGACTGGTATATACATTTGATGCTATGTATTATTATGTATTTACTATCTAAGAAAACCTCTATGAATTATAATCAAATGTATATACCAGTCTGTGTTCTGTTGCCTGAGCCAAGTGTGCCTGCTCTTTATTATTATGTGTTTACTATCTATGAAAATCTCTATGAATTAAAGTGAAATGTATATACCAGTCTGTGTTCTGTTCTGTTGCCGCACCGGATCTCCGCCAAATCCAGGATCATCATCCCCATGTTCGCTCCCGTCTGTATCTCTACCGCTACTTGAATACTGTGGCTAAAACTGGTAAGGTTCCACCACGTTAGACTCGCCCGCATGATCTGATTCCACCACACCGGCATCCTCTTCAATAAAATCCTCCTCTTCTTGAAAGTGCACCGAGGTCTATTGACGACTCACTGTCACTCGATTCTGTCGAAATGTCCGAGCCAGAGTCCGACATCAGCCATATAGATAGTGTATTATTCAAAAAGTGTTCTACTTGTGACGTACCGTGAAGTACCGTGACGTGCGTGACGTGCGTGACGTCACTAACCGGCGAAAGCTGTTTTGTTCGGAGCGGTCGTGTAACATCGGAAGCGAGCATGGAAAGTTGTAATAAATCACGATTTATAAATACAGCGGGCATATTGTCATTAATGACAAATGATTTTCCATTAATAATAGTATATATTATTGTAATACGAACAGTATTGTCCTTCATTTCGTAAGCTCTTTAAGAGGCAACTGGGTATATCTGCCAGATCTGAATTTCATGTACACAACCTTTGAACAACTGGAATAAAATGTAGCTTAAACGTTTAAAAAAAAAATAATAGGCTAACCCTTTTTTTTCTTCTGCACAGCTGTCCACTTTAAATTATAATATTTATCATATTTGTACTATGGTTATCTTTTTATATATATAATAGAGTATATAATAGTATAATTGTTCTATGTGATGCTACTTTCCAAAACGTTTTCCTCTTGCTGTGTCTCTGTAAGCACCATTTACACCAGAAGCAAAGTCCTCTTATGTGTATTCCTACTTGGCCATAAACCAGATTCTGATTAATTTTGTCTTATATTGTTTTTATTTATCCAACTAGTGTACTGTTGATGATATATTAAATGGATTTGGTTGCAAGGGATATATTTGTTTCTGTACAAAACAGTATTGAGACTCCGTATCAAAGATAATTAAATGGCTGTCATTTTGTTCAGTGAAGTATCCCAGATTTATGAGCCGCTAAAGTCTGTCCGTAATATTTTCTATACTATATATATATATATATATATATATATATCTGAAAGCCACATAGATAATTCTTGCATGCATCCCGATGTATAGGGATCATTAAAGGTCTGCATGCATAAAGTATGAATGCCTTTATCTTCACACCTCCATGTAAATAAAGCCTTGGACAGTTTAATGTTATGTGTTATTTCCTCGGTCTGAGGCAGTAAACAGCAGATGGTTTCGCAGGGCCTCTTTAGCGCCATGGATTTTATTTACCTACCCACCTGAATGACCTGTGCTGAGCTGTGCCACTGATGAGAAAAAAGAAGAAGCGAGAGTTAACGGTTTGCTCTTGTTTACTCTAGTTCCAGTAGACTGCAAGGCCAGAGGTGTCATTTGCCACGCACGGAGAAATTAGCTTGTTTATCAGCATTTTGATTTCCGTCCCGCCTCATCGTCCCACTGACATTTGAGACGTACATGATCCATGACTGATTCCCAATCAAAATGGAGCCTCTGTAATATAACAAAGTATTTGGCCTGTGCAGTTTCCTTTGTCTTATAATTGAATGCATTATGATTAGCGTTGCGCCCAAGAGGACGATAGCTTGTTATGTGCACGCCTTGGAAAAGGTAACCTTGAACATTGTACATCTGTCCTGTCGATTGGATATGCTCCAAAGATGCACAACACATTTACCAGTGAGACGCTGCAGCTCAGGTCCATACACAGGGAGATTGTTTGCTCCAAGGTGATTTCCTGTGGTATATTTGACCTTTTTTTTTGCAATACATCATGATGTTGCATTCTTGAACCATCTACCCTCTTTGGAGTTGAGTTAGATGGTAAAGTCCTTGAAAGGTTACACCAATCTTTATCCATTCACTACCGTAAGGGAAGAAGTGTGAAATATAATGAAAATGAATACTCTTTCTCGTGACTATGCCATCAGTTGATATGTTTAATATCCCATTACAGGTCCAGAAGTAACCACAGTTCTATGCTGTCAAGAGAATAAACATAATCCAGAGGGAAATTACCCATCAGGAAGGCAATACTGTTACTGAGATGCAATTACCAGGCCACTTGTGAGACTTTCAGCCCAGTATCCATGGGTGTGTGCATGTGTGTGTGTGTGTGTGTGTGTGTGTGTGTGTGTGTGTGTGTGTGTGTGTGTGTGTGTGTGTGAGAGGGTGGTCGATATGTGCATAACAGCTCTTATGTTTTGCCGAGTAAATTGGATTCTCTGCTGGAGAACAGTTAATTTAGAATATGTCCAAGATGCAAATGATTGATGTGACTATATCGTTACAACTGTAGGTTTGTGGTGCAGGGCAGCGTAATGGAAAAAAAATATTGCAGGGAGAAGGAAAAGCTTTTATCCCAGAAATTATAGAGAATTCTTCCGTACCAACTCTGTAAGTCTCCACGTAGAATCATTTGGATTTTGGGCTTGGCTGATTATACATACATTTTCATGCAAACATCACCTAATTTGGGGAGGAAAAACTGTGTCTAGCTCAGATTATAGTTTCACTTTATATTTTATTGTGAAGCTCCTGCACTCGTGTTTGTTAGGAGTGAAGCAAACAACGTGTCTCACAGAGGATTTAATGTACCAATTTAGCACTGAATCACAAAGCACCTACAAACAAAGGAAACAGCACGGATTGGAATTAACATCAGTGTAAACATTTGATAAGGATTTGCTTGAGGCGAATGCTATGCTTTATTATTGATACAGAAATAGAAAGTGTTGAAACAAGACTTGCTTCTTCTATGCGCGAAATTCACTCTGCATTGTATCCTCCAACTCATCCTCATGAACCCAAAAATATATTTGTGGCGATGGCAAATGGCTTTCCTTTCTTCCTGATATAAATTTCCCAAGTCGGGGACATTTCTATTGTACCACAAATTATCCCCATGAACCTGATAATTAATCACTGCTTCCTTCAGTGAACAGCCCCCTAACCTTAAACATATCACAGAGAGGAGAAGCAAAGCCTTCATCCAGTGCAGGGGAAGTGCATAAGAAATAAAACTGCCTGCACAGAGTGTGAGCCTTGCATGCATAATAAATGTATGACAAAACAATACCCCAGGCACCCCAGTATTAATGATATGCAGCGAACTCATTATTAAAGTTCCAAAACAGCTCCTGGAGTAACACAGATGGAGTCAATTAAGCAATGAGCATACTTGCTTGCCTGCCGTTTCATCTTCTTTCTTTTATCTCTCGCATATTACTCCATGGGTGCAATTAGCTGTATGTTTCTCCCTGCAACATAATGTCCAGTGATAATAACAGCTATTTTCAATTGTAATTTCAAATAATGGACTGCTTAATAAATGTACCAAATTAGCTTGTGCCGTGTCCTTGAGTATGTCATTAGCGCTGGGAGAGGTGTTGAGGATAATACTTTGCTAAGCAGATTTTCTTTCTCTCTCTTCCCCTGTTTGTGTTCCCAGAGACCTGATGCCTTCAACGCTGGAGGGTCAGATCACCATGGAGAAGACACCCAGCTACTTTGTGACTAACCATGCCCCCAAGCGCATCCACACCATGGCCAGGGACATCAAGCTTATTATAGTGGTGCGTAATCCCGTCACCAGAGCCATTTCGGACTACACACAGACTTTGTCCAAGAAACCCGAGATCAACACCTTCGAGGTTCTGGCTTTTAAGAACCGGACGCTGGGTCTCATAGACGCTTCGTGGAGTGCGTTGCGCATCGGAATATACGCGCTCCACTTGGAGAGCTGGATGCAGTATTTCCCTCTCTCCCAAATGCACTTTGTCAGCGGGGAAAGACTCATCGTGGATCCCGCGGGCGAGATGGGCAAAGTGCAGGACTTCCTGGGACTCAAACGCATCGTCACAGACAAACACTTTTACTTCAATAAAACTAAAGGATTTCCTTGTCTGAAGAAGCCAGAGGACAGCAGCACTCCCCGATGCCTCGGCAAGTCAAAAGGGAGAACTCACCCTAAAATAGACCCAGACGTGATTCGCCGGCTGCACAAGTTCTACAAACCCTTTAACATGATGTTCTACCAAATGACCGGACAGAACTTTGAGTGGGAGCTGGAGGAGGACAGTGGGTCTCGTAGCTCTCAGGACTAGTAGACTGCGGCATGGCACGGCGCAGCCACACCACCAGCCTTCTTCGATAAAACTTCTATTGTCTCGCTTTCGTTTCTTCAGAGAGAGTGCTTGAGCACGCCAATCAATCATGGCTGTCTTTGCAGTGTCTGGATCCATTAGCAAGAGTTTACTGACATGCTTTTCCCTTCAATACTAATGTCGTTGATGATGGCGAATCATTATTGTACATACTAAACATAAAATATATTTATATTTGTGAAAAGGAGATGATTTATTCCTTTTGTTTTTAAAAGCATAGAGCTGATATAAAAATCATGTTGACTATGGCAATGCATGCGATAAGTTAAGTGTCCTTACCTCATGAGCCCTAAGGCTGAAATCTGCCTGTTTCTTCTCCCTTTACTTTCCTTCCGTTTGTTTCCCTCACACCCACTCACCAGCATACTGTACAAGAAGATATTCTATTTAAACGGCTAAGGCCATGCAGTGCTCTGTATAATGTCTTTTCAAACTTTCCTGCTGCTTCAAAAGAGACAGGGAAGAGAAAAATGAGACACGTAAAGTACAATAATCCTCTGACTTTTGCTCATCTTTTTCAGTTTTTTGAGTGGAGACAATCGTGTTTTTGTCTGTCTAAGTTTACCAAAGTGTTAATTTACTCAGTGTCAGTGTTCTGGTTGCTCTGCACTCATTAATTACTCACAGATTCAATAAGAGAGCTGACTGACAGTGGCCCTCATTCAATAATTGGATTGTTTCTCTACATCGTCAACATTAGCATACTGATGACCATGCACTCAGATGTGGTACAGTCTCAGTGATTTTGGCATAATTCGACAAATGAATCCATGTCGTGCAAATAGCAAAGGGTGAGCTGTGGACTAAACAATCCGGCATCTTGACAAAAACAAATTCTTGTTGTCAAAAGTCTCCGAAATAACAGTTAACACTCAAAGTCCTCGACCATTTGAGTCGTGACCCTTTTGACGCAGTGATTCATGTCGATGAGGGTGAAGAACAACACGAGGGGGACGGAGCAGAAGTTTTTTAACAAACATCTGCTACAACACGGTCTTCTGTCGGTAGAGATTAATGGGGTGTTAAATAAACTGCTGCTGCTGGAACAATGTCAATGTCAGAGAGAAGGAATAGCAACATACATGCCCAGGTAAATTACCAAGCCATTACTGTATGTACTTAATGAGGTGATGTGTGGCAGGGAAATGTGTTGTAATCAGAGGTTTACTTTGACTAACTGGGCAGATGTGTGTGGAAAATAACAGGGTTTTGCTGTGAAATGCTCCTTTACTCATGCAATGGAAAAAAAAACACTTGACCCATTATATTTTTCTTTATTCATTATATTTTGCATAACTCGCTGTGCGTCTGTGTGTTGTCTCTGGACTTTTCATCAATTGAGACAATCAATACAGCCAATGAGTCAATAAATACAGTCTGCTACACATCACTGGTTGCTCCAGCTATGATGCATTGCTCTGTTAATCCTCCCTGTTCTCTGGCCACAGATGGCTGGATTGGTTCACTCTCCGCGGACCTCTCTGTCACCCTGGGGAGGCCGGCACCAGCAGCTACTTACACAGAGCAATTGATTCAATCAAAGTAAGCACTATACTGCCCTTTGTAGCGCCAAGCCTGAACACTTACCTCCCAGTCTCACTATCCCAGAGTCACAACTTCCACTTTAAGGCTTTTATGTGCAGCCGTTTCTTGGTGTTTTCATGACAACCTTTCCAACTGCTCCCTTTTCTCTCTTCACACACTGAGCAGATATGGGGAGGCATATAAAAATAACTGCGAGCAAGACATGCTAATCATACATTAAGGAAATACCTTTATCATTATTTATTTATTTACATTGTATCCCCCAAGCTTTGTAACATGTATAATCCACCTTCAAAACCAGACAGTCCCTCCTACTCAGTGTAGAGACGCTCACAGACATCAGCAGAAAGCACCCTGTTATTAGGACAGATGAGGACTCCATTTTCATATGAATATGCACTCCTGCTGTCATTTGCATTTCCACGATCACACGCAGGAGGGAATTCCTGTCTGAAGCTAAAACTTAGATCCAACCTCTTATTAACCGAAACACACAAGCACACACATTATACCTTTTTCTTTCGCTTGTTTTAGGAACAGGCGGAACACTGTGATACATCTTGCGAGAGTCGCGACGCATGAAAGGCATGCTAAGCTGTCCTTCATGTGTTCCTCCCGGTGGGGGTCTATGTGGTTCATCAGCATCAAGCAAAGAGGATTGTGATGATAGATGAGCGTCGCCTGCTCATCAAACTGTCACTGCTTAAGTGCCATCGTCTGAAAATGAAGAACAAATTTGTATTTGTTAGTCATTACAGGCAATTTGGCAAAGAGCTGAAACTGTTATTTATAGATTGAAAAAAGCTACCTGAATGCACCGTGAAAAGATTTGCAGTTTGCAGCTATGTGTTTATTATAGGTTGAAAGGCTGTGATCTGTGTATGAAAGGGGTTTTAAAGTGCACTTTTCTGTTATATGATCTACAATTCTATGCCACTGCGGGGCATAATGAAAGGGTACAGAGAATGTGCTCGGTTTGAACCAAACAAGTGTGAATAGTTTGGCTGTAAAGTGGGAACGGATAGATCTGCATGCAGAATAACTCAGCGATTTTAAGGTTCTTCCTCTGAATTCAGTATTCCTTTTGAAAGCTAGCATAGCATAGAATTGCTAACGCTAATTCATGATGTGCGAGAACCCTGTTAGCTCCACAGGTTTTTATGTAAGGTAAGGTAATGAATATCACTTGAGCAAACGTGTCCAAGGCAAAATGGATAACAATAACTAGTTCAAAATCAGACAGAAAATAAAGGAAAAAAACTAGATTATAACCAGGGCTGCACATAACCCCCCGCCAAAAAAAGAGCACCGGATCATTTGAAAAAAGGTGCATTTGCGCACCAACATTGAGAGAGAGAGAGAAAAGAGAGGGATGAGAGAAGAGAGAGAAGGGAGAAGAGAAAAGAGAGAAGAGAGAGAGATATTTGCGAGTTGCATAAGAACTGGTAAGATAGCAGGGTTTCCCACATACTTTATTTGGACGGGCCGACCAGGTAGGCTATATTAACGGCCACCAAAGTGTAATTCGCGAGCCATTTAGATTGATTTTTTTTATCCGCCCGCAAGCACGACGGCATCTGCGATCCCTCACTCTACCCCTCGCTATCGCGTGAAGGGTCTGCTTTATGCGCTCTGCACAGTAACCCCGCTGCGAGGCTCTGGCAAACAGTTCATGAGCGTGCTCACAAGCGCACTTTGTTCATAAAGTCAAGAAACCCTCAAAAAGGTACGGTTTATTTCATTTTAAGGATGCGCAGCAAGCAACATCTCCAGGTGCTCCTTTGGGAATCGGGGCAAACAAGTTATGTGCACCCCTGATTATAACCTATGACAGTATATGGAGCAGGATGTTACAGTTGTCAGACCTTGGCTGATGCTACGCTATGATTGGCCAATTGGGCCAAGCAAAGGGTTGATTAGCTTGCCAAAATAAGAGATAAAACACACAACAAAAAATGTAAAGATACATTTTATTGAAATATTTCTTTCTATATATATCACAATAATATATTGCTTTTCTTGTGGTCAGGATAATTCTGTACTAAAACCTGATATTCTGACAGCCGTATTATATGCAACTAATATTTTGTAACTTTAACTGAGAGAAGCAACTTTCCCCTCATCCACTCAGTATTAGCATTTAACGTGCATCATAATGACATCCAAAATCCTAAAAGAGAGAAGCCTGTTTTAACTAAGGTTTAACATTCGTTGAAATTAACAAAAACAATATGTGTTAACAACAGCTGTGAATCATTGCAAAACAAATATCCACATAATGAAATAAGCCGAAAACAAGATGCAACTGTACAATCTCCCACTGCGCTCCTCTTTCTCATCCGTAATGAAATCATTAATTTAGCCATACGGCAATTGTATCTGCATGGAAATGTTCCCAAGGTGGCTTAGTCACTCATTGAATTTAGCTGCTACCAAAATGTTATGAATCAAACAAAAAAAAAGGATTAAGCAAAATCCTTGCATTGCTCTCTAAAGTTATGTCTTTTTCCTTATTTTTCAATATATATTTGTCTTCAGGTGTATAGGTTTTAATGGGGGTCAAGAAATGAGCACAATGCATTTAAAGGTGGGGTAGGTAATTTTGGAGAAACCAGCTCGAGATCGCTAGAATTTTAAAATACACAACCGGAGAAAATCTGCCACTTCCTTACAGAGCCCCTCCTCCAACACACACGAACGCCCACATGACCAATGAGGGCACGAGATAAGTTTGTGCACAGATGGAAGGCTGACAGGCAAGTAGGCCATCCAGTTATTTTAGCCGGGCTGGCTAAAATGATTGGTCATGCTTTTACAGCGCTACGGGTTTCCACAGATGACATTTTTTATGGATTTTTCGTTCAAAGACTTAAGATATTCATTAGCTATCTGGATTTTAGAGCATTCCATGGTAATTAACAAAAAGTGTTCTCGAGCCGGTTTCATAAACGTAATTCTACCACCTTTTAACTGAGTTGCTATTAACAATCACATTGGTGACTGCGGCCACATAATGAGATTCACAACCCAGATATGAAGGCTTTTCCTCCCATCTCTCTATACCCCACCAAATGCTTGATTGGTGGGAAATACAAGAATATTCCACCCTATTGCCTTCTGAAACTGATGAAGTAAACTAGGAGTGCAGCTGCTTCCACAACACGAACTGAATTATGGTTTCGAGTGTCTTCCAATCATCCTTAAGGGTTTTCCTTGGTATCCTCAGGATCAACAGTTTCTGCAATTTCCACAGACAGAGTCAGTACAGACAAGTAAATCATCTTCATCTGGTGTGTCTTCCTAATCAGGGAAGTCCTTTCTTCACCACCTCAGGAGAGGAACAGCATCCCTGCCATAAATCTTCCCTCAAACAGCTATTCTCTCTCCTCTGTTGTCTTAGGACTTTTTCATCACCACTCCCTTCTCCTCAGACGGCCTGATGTTAAAGGCTTTACAGCCACTCCAAATAGTGTTTATTTTGTGTTTATGACAATGGCTGGCCATAATCTATACATACATATTTGAGCTCCTTGTCTAAAATCATTCACATGCAGAACGATAGAAAGTGTCCAGAAATGACAAAAATGTACGGTGGCCGGGAAAGGGGCACATGTGTCCCCAATGCAA